AACTTCATACGCCATGACAACATGAATAATTAGGCTTCAGTGCCCTGTGAGCCTCTCCACCCATTTCATGGCAACGTTTCCATGTTCGCCTGATGGCAGGTTGCTATGAATCCCCGTAAAGGCCGCCATCTGGTTTTCTGACACACATTTGTAAAGCACTCGACAGGGGAGGGAAATTGAACCAATTAATGGATGAAAGATCAGCGACGGCCTGCGGTATCTTTGGCTTCTGAGAGAACGACGACGAAAGGCTAAAGCCGATGGTTCAGTTTGATTATGACGAGGAGAGATATGAAGAGTATATGAGGAATCGATTTGTAGTCTGCAAACGCTGTGCCTCCAATTGAAGATCATCCAAACCAACGCTCCCACGGGCACGCTGACCACTAGGAAGAGGACTGAAACAGACATCGGTCCAAAATTCCACGCACACCTTCGTCATGGAAGATATCAATGCCAAAGTCAGACGAGAAAGAGCAGATGAAACATTCATGCATAGATACGGCACCAGAGAGTGAAATTGGAGATCGGTTAGCGACCATAGCAGAAACGAAAGACCTGTATACAGGCAAGCCATGGTTCAAGAAGGAGGCCAGCATGAGGTAGGCGTGGATCGCTCCCAATCCGGCAACGACGAACGGGATCAGCTTATTCCTGTTGAACAAACGCCGTATTATTTGAGACATCGCAGTAGTGCGATCGCTTAACACCGGAAGCGACAACAGACAAGTGATGGCCAGGCTATCCTTTAAGGGGAGGATTGAGAAGAAGACACTGCAGATGGCAAATCACAGACAACGATTAAATGCATTCGACGAGGCGATGCTCCATGCCTACATTCCTGATGTAGACTGTAGACTAAATGGCGGCTGTGACGACTACTGCGACAAGTTCACGAAGAAGCTGACGGGCTGGGCAAAGTCATCTGAAGTGGTAACATCAAAGAGAGTAAAAGAAAGGATTCCGGAAGAGAAGAAGATTATGGTACAGAAGCGGCGAAGGCTGAAGACAGCTTGGACCGACACGGTAATGTACTGTAGTTTTTGCAAGCTCATTAGACGGATGCTGAAGAGGGAAGATTTTGAGACCGGATCGGGAAAATTAGAAAAATGGCCGAAGACTGCAGAAGCTTCAGACAACACAGGACAGAGTTAGCGCTGTATCAGTGGATCACAGCGACACTGAAGAAAGGGGATAGCGCCTTAACGTCAGACAGAGCTGAGAGACAGTTTATCTTCAAGAACTTTTGCACCAATCTCTCTGCGTCAAAGACAGTCGTCCCTCCACTGTCATTCCACCAGCCAGAAAGAAGTGCACTTCCGGCTCTCATAAGCAAATTTTTCCATTCCACGCAAAATATGAAGGAATGAAGAACTACAGGGACCACTGAAATGATAAGAGCAGGTGATAAAAAATCTGTGGACGGTTATAGTTGAGAGGTTCAGTTGCTAGCTGGAAACGAAACTGATACCATCAGGTTTAAAGGAGTCAAAAACAATCGTGTTGTCCAAGAAGAGCGAGAAGGATGATCTGAAGAACTGTCGCCCCAGCTGACTGTTCTCACAAGTTTGCAAACTGTTCACTAAGGATAGTGACTTACGGACTGGAAACAGCCCAGGCGAACAGCAGTCGAGAGAACAGGCAGGAAACCGAAAGAGCTACTGCAAAACGGATAACGGATCTTTATATTAATTACCTTATCAAGTCCTCGCAGAAGCCTCGGAACAGTAGCTCCCTCTGGGCGAGCTTTTATCGAATAGTTAAACGCGTTTGACATTGCGAGTATGACGTAGTGTCGACTGTCCCAGCTGAACGGGGCATGGAAACGCGTCTCATCAACCTGACAGAGGATCCGAACTCTGGCTGCGTCACAAATATCATGTTGTTCGACACACCCGACGGATTCCCGTAGAGAAAGGCATGAAACGGGGGACACCATTTCCCTCAAACTCTTCACTTCTTGCTTAAAAATAGCGTGGCGTTGCTGTGACTAAACTGAAGGACTCGAGCTAATATCAACAGTGAAGAACTTAGTTACCTGTTGCTTGCTGATTATGTAGTGTTATCTGCAGAAAACGCTAGTCAGCTGCAAGACTGGTTGCAAAGAGCTGGGCAGAAAAAGTTCGAAAGTCGGATTGCGAATCAATCGGTCAATGACAAGTATATTGCCATCTGATGCCCTGCCGAAGGCCCAGGTAATATTAAGCGACGAAAGGATCACGGTTGACAAACACATCCACATGGGCTAAGAGATCAACACACGGCATGGA